AGTCTAAAAGTAAAAGTTGTAAGTACTATCTTCATCTGCCACCAGTAAAAAGGAAAAATGTAAATCAGTCTAATAAAAGAGTAGTCTAAAAGTAAGTCTAAAAGGGTCATTCATTCATTCATTTACCTAACATGAGGTCAAAATCTAATAAAAGAGTAGTCTAAAAGTACTACTATATAAGACGAGTAGTATCTATAAAAGGGTCTAAAAGTTGTACTATTATAAAAGTAAAAGTTGTAAGTACTAGTCTAAAAGGGTCTAAAAGTTAAAAGTTGTACTATCTTCATCTGCCACCCAGCTTCCTTCGATGGTATCAACATTGTCATAGCGCTCGACTGGCAAGACATCCTCCTCCACTGAGCCACCATCCTTCATAACTCGTACTCTGACGCCAAATCCAATATCGAAGTCCTTCACCCTGAAGCTCCATCGCATCAAAGTCCCCTTCTCCACAAGGTAGGCGGTCGTGAACTCGGACCTTGCACTTACCACGATATCCTCAGCACCACGGATCTGGAGGAGTAGAAGAGGTTGAGGTCCGTGGTGTTGTCATGTCATGTCATGTCATGTCATGTCATGTCATGCCATGTCATGTCATGTCATGTCATATCATGGCACCTCTTTTGTAGTATTTCGGGTCTACCGGAAGTTTGGTTTCGTTTCATGATATGTTGATGTTACCGACATTACGTTACGTCGAATCGTCGAGTTGGAAGTGCCAAGAATGATGATTGTGCCTATTCTAGAGGGTATTCTAGAGCTGTTTCTACTTTCTACTTCACTTTGCACTTCCTGATGTGATTTCTGTAGATAGAAAGAACGTTCTTTTTCTTTTTCCTGAGTAAGAACTGAGTGGTCACGGTCACCACATCCTGACTATTGTACCTTGATATCCGTCCACTTTTTCGCTGCTTCTTCTTTCTGGAGTAGGATTTCCTGTGCGGTTTTGCCCCACGCCAGTCCCATTTCATTCCTGACTTTGACGATCTTGCCCTTTCCCCGCTTCCAGAGAGCTTTGGTTTTCTCCGCGGTCTTCTCTTTGGCTTCCTTCGCTTTATCGCGGTACTCAGACGTCTTCTCCTCCAGCTTCGATTTCAACTCGCTCGTTTTTTCTCCGATTTTCTCCTTGGTGGCTTAGAAGAAAAACACGATGTTGACGACGTACTAGAAGTAAGTATTTTAAGATGTTGCTTGTAGTTTTTATGATCATTATAGAACATTCTTATAATTGTGGCGGTGCCGACCTAACTAGAAAAAAGACAGACCAGAGGAAGATGTAAAAGAGAAAAGGGCAACTGTCTTTCCTCCTCTTTTCATAATATTCAGCTGCTCTTTCTCCGATTTTCTCCTTGTATTCCTGTCCCTTCTCGAGTGCCAGTTTCACCCTTTCTAATTCCATGGCCTCCGCATATTTCCCCTTTGCTTTCTCAGTCGCCTGCGCTGCAAGTGTTTGCGTTTTCTCTGCGAGAGCGGCAACCCTGGAGATAAAAAGTGAATGTAAAAAAGGATTAAAATCATGGTCAAGTCAAAGAGTAGAGCGATTGTTTTCGCAATTCCACTTGTACTACAGCCAAAACTAATCGAACTTGCATGCGGGTCACTCATTCATTCAGTTGGCGACTTCGGCTGCCCTTCTCTTGCTAGAACTCTTTTTTTTTCCATAGGAGGACTATATGCCACCGCCCGTTTAAACAATCATATACCATCTCCTAAACAACTAGACAAATTTATTACATACTGGAGGCGCAGAAGACCGTACATCATCTCTGGTCATTTTTACTAAAACTACTATCTCTACTGGTCAGTGCTAAAACTACTACTATTTACCGTTCATTCTCCATAGCTTTCGCGTATCCCTCTTTTGTTTTTTCCTTGGTTTTGTCGATGATCTCTGTTCCCTTCTCGCTCAGATATGAGACCATGTTGCTGACTCTCGCGCCGACGCCCTCTGCCTTAGGCGGATCTGGCAGAGGCTCCGCAATCGGTGCTGGCTCTTCTCCCGACATTTGATGTGCAATATGTAGCAGTAGTAATAGGTTACCCACTCTAGAAGGGGTAATTAAGATTATATGTACTAGATGTTTTCTCCGTATGATGTATGTATGTATCAAAATCCTCTCAATTAAAAAATATTTTCAGAAGATTTTTCTGATCCATGTGTTAATGTGTTGGACCTCTAAACCCAGGAAGGCAAGATACAAAAGAGAAAAACACTAGTGCCAAAACAAAAAGTACGATCAGTACCACGAGCAAAAAATCGACGAGCACCTTACCAAGCTAGGGAAAAAAATACGGCAGCTGAAGTCTGCCCTAGGCAAGATACAAAAGAGAAAAACACTAGTGCCAAAACAAAAAGTACGATCAGTACCACGAGCAAAAAATCGACGAGCACCTTACCAAGGTAGGGAAAAAAATACGGCAGCTGAAGTCTGCCCTCAGCAATTTGTTTTTCTCGTAACTTATTTGCTGACGGACAATTGGGGTCTATCGGAAGAGCAGGAACAAAAGGGCTGTTGGCATAAGCAAAGTCGTTCGCTGTTGCCGTTCTCGTGCTATAAGTAGTAGTACCTACTAAATTACCTTGCTGATATTCTCCAGCACCAGCTTGCTCAGCACCACCTATATAATGATTATCTTGCTGAAGATATTCTCCAGCACCAGCT